AACTTAACGATTACATACTACGAACAGTAGTTTAGTAAAACTAGAAAGTAGATGAAGAATGAAGATGACCACCTCATTTGAAGATGTAACTTAATATAAATTTGGTATTGAAAAAAATCAATTATTTTTTAATTGAAAAACAACCGCCGGTTCCGGGTACCCGGCGGGTAACGGTTCCGAAAAACTGAGAACCGGAACCGGAACCGTTCTCAATCGATTCCGTATTTTAGGAACCGGAACCAGAACCACTCATATCGGTTCCGGTTCTGGAACCGGCGGTTCCGGTTCCGCAAACGGGTACCCGATTCCGCTGCTCACCCCTACTATTGGGCTCTATTTGGTTCAATTGAGCTTTAACGAGTATTATTGTGCTTTATTCGGTTCAATTAGGCTTTAAAAAGGTACTACTAAGCTTTAATAGATCATAGTGGAATTTAATAGATTTTGGATTTTAACGGGAATTATTTGGTTTTTAATGGATCTATTGGGTTTTCATTGATCTTAGTGCACTTAAATGGATCTATTGGGCTTTATTTGGTTCAATTGAGCTTTTATATGTATTATTAGGTTTTAATGGATATTGGTGGAATTTAATGGATCTTAGTGGACTATATTCGGTTCAACTAGGCTTTAATGGAGCTATTGGGTCTTATTCGGTTCAATTGGGCATTAACGGATACTATTAGGCCTTATTCGGTTCAATTGGGCTTTACTGAATCTATTGGACCTTATTCAGTTCAATTGGGCTTTAATGGGTACTATTGTGCTTTATTCGGTTCAATTGGGCTTTAATGGGTACTATTGGGCTTTATTCGGTTTAATTGCACTTAAACAGGTACTATTGGGCTCTATTCGGTTCAATTGAGCTTTAACGGATATTCTTGTACTTTATTCGGTTCAATTGGGTTCTAAAGGGTCTACTAGGCTTTAATGGATCTTAGTGGACTTTAAATGGATCTATTGGACTTTACTCGGTTCAACTAGGCTTTAATGGAGTTATTGAATCTTATTCGATTCAAATGATTTTAATGGGTACTATTGAGTTTTCATAGATGTTAGTGGCCGTATTCGGTTCAATTGGATTTTAACGTATACTATTGGCTTTAATTTTTTATTTTAAATATAAAAATCCATTAGAATTTATAAAAAAAAAATATATTCCTTACAAAAATTATTTTCAAAGAAAAACGTAATTTTAAAAAACGTTTCGATGGATTTACTTATTTATTTTAATAATTTTTTTTCTCCGACGAAAATTTCCGTCGTAAATTTAAAAATTTTCAAATGGATCCCAAAGCCCAAATGTTTTAAATTGGAGCCCAAATTATACAACCCTCTGTCCCTTTCCCTTAAGGCCTTACTACGGCCGTAATACCCTCTCAAACGATTGGCGTACGCTCCCGACCTCCCTCTCTCAGATTCGGACACTGCTTTCTTCTTGTGACGAAGACGATTAACAAAAACGATTTCTTCTTCAGAAAATACAAATCCATCAGAAATTCCGTCGAAAATTGCATTTAGCGGCTGATGTTTTTCCGACAGCAAAATCCGTTGGAAAGTTGTTTTTCTGACGGATTTTCAACGAATTTTGCCTTCGGAAAACCCCCCTTTTTTGGTAGTGAACATAAATTATAATAAAAGTTAAATTAAACAAATTATATAAAAAAGTCTTCAAATAATAAAAAAATATATTATAAAATTTACAAAAACATACAATATTGTATAAAAATAAAGTATCTAAAATATCATTAGGAAAATCATTGAGTTAACTAAATACTTAGTTATTGTATAAAAATATTACTTGATATTCATTATTATAAATAAACGGGACATGGATACAATTTTTAAAACTTTATGTTTGAATTCATATCTATATCTATACTATATTATAAAACATTTGGCTAAAACTCTTAAAAACTCTTAA